CTTTTCCAAACTTGTTCGTCGAAAAAGTATGATACCTTCTGATAACACGCACGAGTAGCGACATGCACGAATTTCCAAACCTGTTCGTCAAAAAAATATGATACCTTCTGATAACACACACGAGTAGCGACATGCACGAATGGTATAACAATTACTTCGTTATCTCCTACCAGCACGAATGGTGTAACAATTGCTCCGTTATCTCCGACATGGAGCTGGCTAACGAGACTCTTTAGCCTAAATGTTCAATAACTACCTTCGAGCTTTGCCTGCCCTTTAATTCGTGCTTTGCGTATAAGTTTTTTTTTTCAAACTTCACACTTGAAGGACCTTGTTCCTACATATGACCCGATCAATTTGACACGAACCTTGTTCCTATATGTACAAGTTTTTTTCAAACTTCAGAAAGACCTTATTCCTACATGATCCGATCAATTTAATTGAAGCTTGTTCGTACATATTCAATTCCAGCTTCTATATATTCAATTTGGAAGCTTGTTCATACATATTCAATTTCAGCTTCTATATATTCAATTTCAATTAGACACGAACCTTGTTCCTATATATTCACGAACCTTGTCCCCCTATATGACCCAATCACTGAGTTACAATCACAACTCAAACCCAACAGATAAAATACAAGGACTAAAAATTAGTTGAAATTAAAAAAAAAAAAAAAAAAGCAAAACCCGTTTTAAAAATAATATTAACTACATAATTAACAGATATTGTACCTTGTCTTTGCAAATATTAACTTTATATTGTACCATTTGTGTTTGTAAATACAACAAATATATTCTTTTTTGTCTTTAATTAAAGATAAAGTTTTGATAACCATTTTGTGTTTGAAAATACAACAAATATATTCTTTTTTGTCTCTAATTAAAGATATAAAGTTCTGATAACCATTTAGACTTACAACCAGTAGTTTCCAAAATTTTGTTTTTAAAAAAAGTTGCTAAAGCATTCAAAAAATATATATATACCAAAAAAATTTGTGACAAAACAAGCTAGACTGTTTTTAGACGAAATTGTTCTTCATCAAACAGCCTAATTGATATAAACTGATGTGAATATTTCATCACTAAACATTAATAAGAATCAAAATAATTACAGAATAATAAAGATCAAAATAATTTTTTGTTTAGATTCAATTATATTTTAGTCCTTACATTTTTTTTAAATAAACCAATTTCATATCTAAACTTTCGGGTTTGTAGAAGGTTACATTTCTTGGCATCCACTCTCAAATGTCTCTCCTTTTAAACTTTAAAAAAAATATGTGCTTTAGTTATTTTTCTAAAATTTGGAAACTAATAAATAAGAATTTCACCTTGAATTTTTTTAATAAACGTATCGTTATATATATCCTAACGAGAAGCAAAAAATTAAATAAAAAATAAAAAATTAAGCCGACGAAGAACAAGGCGTCAGAGGACAACGAGGATTAAACCAAAATCCAAAAGAGACGAACCAAATTATAGTTTTCTTCAGAAGAAAGAGAGAGTGGAGAATTCTGATGACCACGCATCGAAATAGAACATGAACGACATGTCGAATTCTGTGAAATGGCTCCGCCGGCGACCTACCTAAAATACGCCAGCAAAAATATTTGCAGCCGTGGAAACAGCAGCGCCGGTGATGGCGCATTGTACGATCTGCTCGTGAGAAGACTCGTCTGATGTTAGTGCCAAAGCCACGCCCGTGATTGCACCTGCGATTGCACTATTCTTCTGCAATGGAATTGATCCAGATTCATGGTTTTAGGGCTAGAACAACAAAACCTCTAAATCATTTACAAAAAAAAAAAAAACACACACACACACACACACACACATTAGGTTCAAGCTCTCTTTTGAATTAAGTTCAATTTTAAACTCTTCTAATATTATTTATTGTTAAAATTTTACAAATAAATGGACGTTTTGTGGGTACTAGGGACTAAACCAAACAAAAGGTGTAAGTAAAAGGACCAGAATTAAGTAAAGAAGTACAGGAAGACCGAAAAATGAAACAAAATCATGACTAAAATAGTGTTTAAACTAAAACATCAAATATTTATTGGTAAATTACGGAAGGGAAGGGTTATTATATACCCAATCATGTGCTCCACGAGCCTCTCTTAAACCGTAGGTAAGACCAGAATAAACTCCAGCAGCTAATCCTACAACCCAGAAAAAAGATAAATTAGAACATATAGTTAAATCACACCACTCAATCATAAATTAGAATATTGTTCCTTTTTTTTCAGATCGTATTACTCTCCCTTTATGTCTAGACTTGTTATACTAGTTACCCAACACAAAAAATTTCACTCCAGATCTTAAAAACCCACCAAATTCTGTGGTGGGTAAAATAAAACAAAAACAAGAACTCAATCAACCGATCTATCAACTTAGGGTGAGCTTTCAAGAAGTGCTTATAGAAGAAATGTTTCCCTTCAAAGCACTTGGACATAACATAAGCTAAATCCAAAGTGTGCAACCGAATGATCGATCAAATTAGTGACTTGAGATAACATAACATACACAACAAGGGTATTTAAGCAAAGGATTCGTTTCCCATGATTAAAAAAAAAAGGTATTTAAGCAAAGGAAATATCTTTTGAGATGCAATGCAATGATGTTTGGCATTCAAGAATTCAGAAGAGGAATACTAACCCCATTGCAGAGATTCTTTTCCCGTGTTCTTCACCTGACATACACCGTTTAAAATGCAAAATAATTAAAATTAGTGCCATTTTACTGACCACCGATACCAGTGAAAATAATTCACACAAATGTAACACTCGACCACCAGCTGCAAACACTCACCATGGCTTCAAGAGACACTCTGTTAGTTTCACCTGCACGGCGTAGAAAAAAAGATATGGTTTCAATCATATCTATGGGACAAAACTAACTTACAGACCTTTGCACAAATTATACAGAATCGTAAGGGGCACTCCATTTTTAGTCTGTATCATCAAATAAAAAATTTGGAATCCACATCTCGTACTATAGCCCAAAATAATGCACATCTATCAATCTGAAAGAATATAATTAGTAGAACACAATTTCCAGCGACCAGGCAGAAAAAGGATCAAACCTAGCAGGCGGACATAAGAACGATTTTGCTTGAGGATAAACAAAGCTCAACTTGGAAGATGAATCCATCGAATACCTTTAAGGCCTGGAAGACGATGCTTTTTAGCAGTCGATAGTTCAGGCGGCACTCCACTGTTCGAATCAAGACCTGTACGGATGATAAAATTTTTCCAAGCATTAAAAAATTTTGTTAACCAATTTACATCAACAATCTCCCAAACACGTACAGATGATAGTATTCTTCCAAGCATAACAAACTTTTGTTAACCAATTTACATCAACCATCTCCTAAACGCGTAAGACAAAGCAAAAAAGCCACAGTACATGAAAGTGACACGAGAGCGAAGCAGAGTTGAAATGTGAGATGAAATTCGAGTGAAATCGAAGTGGTTACGTCAACCATCTCCTAAACGTGGAAGACAGAGGAAACAAAAGCCATGATACATGAAAGTGAAACAAAATCGAAGCAGAGTTTAACCGTGAGATGAAATTCAAGTGAAATCAAGCAAGGATCGGATCGAAATACTGGATGAAATGAATCTTACTTTCCGCAGCCGTAAAATAAGCCTCGCGAGACACAGCTTGCAATGCCCCAATCTGTACGACGTACCACAGACGTCTTAGATTCACACATTGAAGTAAAATACAGCACGATCATATCAAGATTATCAAAGCGGTTAACAGAAATAGGATCACGAAAGATTACGAACCCCGGCGGCCTTGATGAAGCTCTCGGCGACGCGATTGAGAAGAGGATGGCCAAGGTCGTACAAGAAACCTCCGCTATCGAAGCTACGTATTTCATCAACCAATGAACGATTCTCAAGGTTTCTACTGCCCATTTCTTCTAATTCTCAGTCTTCTACTGCCTGAAGGAAGAAAATCAGAAACAAAGATGAATATAACTGAAGTCCAAAATCTGCAGTCGATTTGATAGCCAAAGTCCGGGAGGAGAGACGAAACGTTCGCATGCGCTTCGCGGGCCGACGAAAACGAAATATAAGGAGCGCGCCGAAGAAAAAGAGAAACAAGGACAGAACGACACGTGTTACGATATCATGACGTGTCCATTCCCAGACTACGAAAAGGACGGCTACGTGGCAACTCCCGGAAATGAAATTCGCTACGTGGGTTTCACACCGTTTATCATGAACTAAACTCTAAAATACATTTATAACAACTGACTTTTTTTCTGAAACCAATGTTCTTTTTTTTCGTTTAAAAATGGTACCATTTTAAATGATAAGAGTTTTCTTTTTTTTCTAATAACATAACAAGTTTTTGTTCCCTTTTTTTAATATCCCAGTTTGTATTTTTCAACTAATCAACTAAGAAAAATAACAAGTTTTTGTTCCCTTTTTTTAATATCCCAGTTTGTATTTTTCAACTAATCAACAGCCAACCGTCTACCAAGTCTTGCAAAGCAAAACCAACTTCAATCGCTATGCTCAGACTATCCTCGATTGCGAGTTGCGCATGAACAGAGTTTAAAAGACAGGCCCCACCGGAAAAGCAAAGATAAAGACATGGCATCAGTAATTGAATTAAACGGTTGGGTAAATTCAGGAGAACGTAAAGATAAAATTTGACCAAGTGAATTCACACTCCACCTCAAACTGAATTGAGTACTAAAATCCATATCCTTTTTGGTAGGGACTTGCAAGCCTCTGCCTGAGTGTCCCTAATCTACTGAATCACATTAGTTTACACAGCTGAACGAACCCATGGATATAAATATTTGTATACACCCTATCTCTTTTACGTTTGGGGTGGGGGGAGGGTTGAAATCAGATAACAAAATTGATGCCAACAACTGTTCAACTTAAAGCAACGAGCGCCCAAATGCAAACACGAGTAGCTTCCCATTCATCACTGTCAGTACTATTATACAGCCATCATCAACTAGCAGCTCCTTGCCTTGGATGGAAAGCCTTGAAAGCCAATTCGTTCCTTCTTCCTTTTCGAATTAGTCGAGTTCCAAGACTAGCCCGCATCCCTTTTCGCACAAAGCATATTCACAAGGCAAACAACAATGGAAGAAAATCGCAATCATCCTGATCCTGATGCAAAGAAATAACCTATGATCCATTTACAGTCATTTCAGGTGACGAGTTTGGAGGAACCAATGAACAGTCTTCTCCATTCAACTGTCTATTATCTGATGGTTTAAGCAATGGTTCAGAACACTTTTTAGAAGAAATTGGTTGGCTTTCTGTCTGGTTCTCCTCACCCAAATTACTGTCGCGATCAGTTGAGCTTCTTATAGCATTCTGATCGTTGACTTTGCAACTCTCTTGATCTGAACTCATGTTCCCATCAATTGAATTGGGCCTAGAATGCTGGGAGCTCACTGTATTCTTATTAGGCAGAACTGCCTGGCTCAGTGTCGAACACAAGACAGCAAATACCCCATCTTTCGTCTTAGGATTTTTTCCCAGTCGCTGCTTCTTTACCTTCTCAGATTCTTTATCCTTGTGAACGGGTTTCCGCTTCAACCTGAGGGTGTGCAATGCTCCATCATCGTCATCCAAGGTTTCTGGTTGTTTTCTTGGCGGTGGTCTGTAGTCTTCATCATCTTCATCGTCGTCATAGTCAACAAGTCCACCAGGTCGAGGACTGTAAGAGTTTGAGGACAATCAAAAACCGTTTTTGCAATAAATTTTTCTACTTGAAGCCAGTGATAATACCTTGGTGAAGGATAAGCTGCAGCAACTCCATTACATAGAACAGGTGGAGATTGCGCTTTCTGTACATTTGAAACAGATGCAGTTGCAGTATCCTCTTCATCACTGGTTGGTAATGAGTTAATAACAACCAGATCAAATATCTTATTTAAAGAACTACGCAAAAATCGGTTGCATATATTGAAGAAAAAAGTCAAAGATTTCCTGCTGTTCATTAACAAATTAGAGAGTTTCCTATGTAACGTTCAATCTTCTTTTCGCGTGGGGTTGGGCCTTTAAAATTTTATTTTATTACAATTTACTACTCTGATAAAAATGAAATTTATTTCCTAAAAAATAGAGAAACAAGCATACCTCTCTTCATTAAAATAATCCTCTTCTTCTTTCTCCAAAGCACGCTCCTCAATTCTTTTTCTAGGGTCTAACACGTTATTAGTTGTACCTCTTGTGCCAAAATCATCTAAGCACTGCAAACAGAGATGTCAAACACAAAATAGAACCATTTGGAAGATAGAACAGGATATTATATAAAGAAAAAATCGAGAATACCTGCTCATATTTAACTTTTAGAGACTGAATTGAAGCCAAATACTCAAACTGAACCAACTGATTCCAGAATGAATCGACTATGTACTTAACCAAAGATTTAAGGTTTTCCTGCATGGACCACAAACCCATTAAATCTCAAACACTTGTCGGAATTACCTACAATTGGAGGGGAACAATGGTGTCGTAAGAAAGATGGAGACCTTGCGGATAAACTCGAATAGATCTAAAACAGCAGAATTGAGCAGGTTGTAACGATTCCCGTTAGCAACAAACGCATCTATAATTGGTTTTAGAAGATTATTTTTTATAAAATGGCTAATCAGATCATCATCCTGCACATCAACACAGCAAATGATCAGTAACTTGGTACATTAACCAATTTCAATCCGCAAAAGTAGTAAATTGTATAAGTAATAGCACAACTATTGTTCTTGATCCCAAGGGCAAAATTATCCCAACTCCCACAGGGAAATTTTCCCAAGACGTTGTGCATGATCAGTAATAACAATCATTCCAGGCCAACAGTAATTTTTGTGTATTTACAATTCAAAATTTAATCCCTCCGGAAGAGAAAAGAAGAAAGAGGACTGTAAGCTCCTCATTTAAATTACCATCAATAAAGAAATAAGAGAGATTTCATAGCTGATACAACTTACATGGCGAGATAAAATAGTACGAACAAACCGAACAGCTGCAACAACCAAATACTTTTCTTTTCTTCGAGTAAGTAACAAAACTTTATCTATGACATTATTCACGAGAAAGTTGCACCTGAAAACAGATTGGGAAATAGCACAGAATAGTATCTTTGACGGTTGAAAGAAACTTCAATTCTGAATGATCAAAAGGGGGACAAAATATTACTTTATTTTATAAGGATGGTGCAGAACACAAAAGCAAAGCAATTCACATATGTTGGATAGTATTTCAGGCTTTACAGTGCTCTGATTCTTTAATACACCAGAGTTCCCAATTTTGTTGCTTGACGGATAAAGACCTTCTGAAGGGCATGAAACTGTTATAACATCAATTAATTGACCCAAATGATTCTCATAGAACATCTCGATAACAGTTTCTCTCTGCAAAACCAAAGGCACAATAATGCAGTCAGTGTAGAGTGGATGCATCGGAACAACCACAACTATTTCCAAGAACTAGGTTTAAGTGCATTTAAATTTAAATCCAAAATTAAAAAAAAAATTATACGGCCTAAATAAATAAAAATTCTAACCTAAGCAGAAATTTCCAGTACCATTTGTTTATGATTTTACTCTAGAAAATTTTGATAAAAACAGAGCAGTTCTTCTTCTACTATTGAAATCC